CTCACCTGAAACTTGGTGGTGGCGTGGTAACAACCCGTGCCCACTGTCACTACGTGGTGACCGAATTTGGTATTGCCTATCTGTTTGGCCGCAATATTCGACAACGCGCATATGCACTGATTCAGATTGCACACCCCGATCACAGGTGAGCAAGCAGAACATCATTTCAAACAACTCGGTTAGCACTAGAAATTTTCATTTCTGAGATATTAGGCCGCATCTACCCAGGATTAGGAAAAGTGAGGTATTCCATATTCACAACCCATTTGCTTCAGGGTAAAAACAAGATTACCCTTATTACATATATATATATATATATATATATATATATATAACGCACATCTGATTCTCGTTTTCATGCAAAAACCAAAAAAGTTGTGTCCAATAGATGAATGAGTTTTTTATCCTCGAATCATGCCTAGTGCCGTAGCCTTCTACGGAACCGTCAAGACTTTCCTTTCAAGCTTAGAATCCTTGAAAGGGATCTTTTCCAGATAAGCCCCCCCAAAAAATTAACCCCCGCCACCCAAAAAAGATTAGAAAAAAGAAGATATGAAACTTGTAATTTTGCAGTGAAGAGGGGGAAATTGGGACATGTTATTATTAATTTGCATGAAAAGATCCGTTTTTCGGTACCTTTACCTACAGACGAACCCACACAAGTAGCTGCGTTGTGCGCCGCATTGGTGTTTATTCTGCATCTTGTAGACGTGCCAAAGAGATTCGATGATTTGATTCGTTGGATCCACAAAGTTTTCTGTATGATTAACCGTTTCATGAGTATAATTCATGTCAATCATCGTTTCGATTCCTTGGTATGATGCCCACACATCAGAGATCATGGTTGAGCCGGGAGAGATGCAGGCTTGGATTGTGTCCATCCAACTGGCCGCAGTTCGATCTGGTACTGCGTACATGAACATCTGTTTAGTTTCCTGGCCGATGCCTCCGGAAATCCACTTCTTGGGAAGACTCACCCTGCGTGGTTTTTAGGGCTAGACATTAGCGTTTCATCGATCTCGACCTGCGCCGCCGATAACTGTTAGAGTCTGCAAATGCAGACTCTTCCAGTCAACAGCAGTCGTGTGGCTAATAGATAATTCTTCTGAGCGGAATTTGATTTTCGCCAAATTTTTGGACCAGCAATAAGTTAATAGAATTAGTGTTCTAAACTCCATCCCAGACCGCTGCAGCCAAGTTCTCTTTCGAAGACCGATTTCTTGCTGACACTGTCGGGCATTACACCTCCACCTGTCAGAAACAGTTGAAAGTGTCATTTACTGGCCATTGTTGCATACACGTTGCAGATGGATCACTCCGTTGCTTTGCAAAAAACGTATTAACGTCTCCTTGTCAAGAACGAGAGTTGAAAGCGTCAGAAAGTTCATTAGAGGTTTTACGTCCGAACGGAAATATTTTTGCGGATAAGGAATTGTTTTCATCAAACATAGGTCAAGGTTGTGTGCGTACATTAAGTTGGAGATAGCACAAAGTGGCGGGGCTTTACTTTCCGCACATGCACTTTTTGCATTGGTGGCGGGGCTTATCTGGAAAACATCTCGGTGGGATTCGCTAACCCTTCAATCCGAGGTTAAAAATTAATCCCCTCTCATTAGGACATCATGTCTGCAGTTCGGAACAGTAAGGTAGTTAAGGCTTCCGGTATATTAGCTTGGTCTAACACTGGGTGAGTGATTGCTCCGCACTAAAACCAAACAGTCATTAGAAAAACAAGGATAACACAAAGTACGTTGTTGGCACACACTACTGTGAATTATTATAGGGTGCACAATGGACCGCATCGCGTCGCGTCGCGTCGCGTGCGCACACATACACCACTTCACATATTGACGTATTTTAGCTACATTTCTGACGTATTTCATTTGTTAAATAGCACACACCATCCATCGGTCCACAGAAATGAATCTGCAAATAAACTTCCAGATGAAACATTATGACAGTATGCGCATAATTGCTCTAACTGCCCCGTAAGTCCCAAAACCAATCCGCATAACCAATTCTCATCTACTGAAAACACGTGATACTCGAAAACTTGGCTGAGTAGTACGCTGCTCAATTCCCAATCTACTGTCTACTGGAGAGGGGGAGAGAGAAACAGGATTCAGACCGACCCGAACGGAAGCTGCGTGTATGAACAAGGTGACAAAGGTGGACGCGGCGTGCACCACTTGGACAAAACAACACCACAATCAATACTGTGTATCAAACAAGGCCATCTGCTGACGACTGATACCTGAAAAGCTGATCGAATACACCCACACGAACGCACACGCTGGGTCGATCTTCACATTACTTGTGTCCTCTCGGGTGAACATTCAACCCTAATGACTGCATCACTATACAATATTTCAGCTAATTATGAGGGACTGAGGTCCACGGCAACGGAGGATCGGATCAAACTGTTGTGGGACTATTATCCGGCAACCATACCACTCTTATCGGTGCTCATCTCCTTGGTCACAGTCCCGTGTATTCTGATCCTCTACGCATTACTGGCCTTCTGCACATATGACGTTCATGAAGACCCTCCAGAACGTGTTCCGTTTGTTATGGACATCATTCGTCTCGTACGGCTTCCATTGGTACCATGGTCATTTGTCCTTTTGTCAGTCGACTGTGGCATTTGAATCCGTGCGAGTTACTCACCACGGAATTTCCGCGTCCCTGGAGACATTGTGGATAATCCATACTTTACACCTCCAAAGCATATCTTCTACTCCGCGAGTTTATCATCATCAACGGAATCCCCTTGTACGCACCTGTCTGTCAAGTATCTAACGTCTGTTTTGTACTGGATACAAACAGTTGTTAATATGTTGCATATGGACAACATGCCTCTTGAACATGTGGCGCACCAAGGATTTGTCGAGTCACTGCACACTTCTGTGATAGATCTCCCGAGAATCGTCCAGACTATTCGCATACCAGACTCATACCGCTGGCCCTCAAACGTTCTGTGCAATATGTTTTCAAATGGCATCTTCCATGAAGCCCCGCCGCGCTCCACTCTACATTGTAAGTGACCCGAAACTCGCATTAACAGTCTTTCATCCTCACGTAATACAATACAGAACATGGTTGTGTTGCCAGAGTGAAATGCCACCAGATTCATTGTGATTGGGGTCGGCGTGGATATCGACGGCCTTCAGAACGATACGATCAAGTCCCTGGGTGTAGACTTGCGTCATTCATAATGCATAAGGATACATTCTTTTGAACGAATTCCCCTGAACGCACTCGGTTGTGTCCATCCAACATGTGGATTGTTCTTTGTCGGACCAATTTGAATCTGTCCAATTAGTCTGGTTTGTGAATCTATTTCGGTTTGAACAAATACACTGCATTGTCTTTACACATGTTCGTGTAGTGGGACCGATAGGCTTCATTTGGTGGTGCACGGGGAAGCCCCGGGAGCTATTCGATCTTATAGTACACCAGTGTTCTAACGATGGTATGCGTTGCGGGATGTCAGTTAGTCACGGGATTGAAGAAGATAAAGCAGTTTAACCAAATGGCCTATCATGCACGCTTATTCAAAGGCAATTCAATATCTTCTTCCCGTGAACGATCGTCCGTAACCTTGCTTGAATGCACCTCTAATGGGTGGTCTGGTGGGCATTGAATGATAAAACGCTGCGTCGTCCTGAGCACGAGATATTACGATCTGATGGTTTCTAGGTTTAATGGGTCATTGCCTACATGGGCTTTTTTAGAGGAAGTAGGATTACGCGCTCTATAGCTTAGTGACCTATTTGTATGACATTGTATGTCACTCGTGCCTCTGGTCCACCTAAAGTTATTTACAATGGTTCAGTTGGGTTCCAGGTAAACCACTCGCTGAACCAAATGAGTGTATTTCGCTAATTTCGTGTAATTTGGATCCAGGTATAACATAAGGCTAACGTGTATTCGGGGACTACGCCCCAATAAGGGCGAAACCGACTGTGGGCTGTCAAAGAGTTTTCAGCAAGGTTATGAGTAGTGTATTACGTCTATTCATTTAGAATGAATTTGTGAATGAAACTGACAAAGCGATGAAGTACCAGTTCAAGCATCCACTGAGTAGAATCAGTCCGGAAATCGTTAACGTGTCATATCCACATGTGATATCCCAGACCAAGCTACTGTGGCTAAGTGCCATGTTCAAAATGAGGTTTTACGAAGGATGGCACTGTAGGGTAAGGAAGACGAATGATTTGACTGAGCATTATTTTTGCAAGAGACAAGCCGTTTAGCACGGCTTGACTTGGTGTAGACCAGTGCATTCGGATAAATCTATTCGTATGTTTTGCGACCGTGCCATGACCCTATTTACCTCGAGTTGCCTGTTTGAAGGTACTGAGAAATCTCCCAGCCTGACCATTTGGTTTATTATGATAATGGAATTGTTCTTGCACGGATCCATTAGCTTCTTATTTAATTATTTTAGTTCGTGAATCTGTTTTGATCTTGTCTTTAAACATGTGGTCTAATTGGAACCGATAGGCTGCACTTGGTGGTGTGCGATGAATCAACAAGATCGAACCAATTTTCTTATAATCCAAGTTGAAAATGGGTTTGACGATAGCCCGATATTCACATGTTATACCAGCAGCACTCATATTGTTGTTTTTTATCACTGGGCTTGATGAGGTTTTTGCTTTCAGTGATGTTTTTTGTGTAATCTACAGTCTTATTTTGTTGTCGTGATTCTTGAAGTGATTTCAGGAATGTTTTTGATATGTGATTCATTTCAGTTGTGGCCTCAGCACTAAGCCAACAACGCAGGAGAACTTGTCATCCAGAGGTAATAATGATCCCATTTAGTGTGATCTCGCTTTTCACGTATGTAGATCTAAATTCCGTGGTCGAATAATTGGATAACCTCAGCGTTCCAGCTAGATAGCTTGAGAAAGAATACCTCTGCCAATTCTCAACTTATGCCTGACCACCTATATCGAGTTCAACGAAGGAACAACTTTGGGTCGCTGATTTCAGAATTTGTAGTAGAAGTCACAAAGCAATACCTGAAACGTATAGTAAAACATATGAATCCTATGGTATAGATCCCCTAAATGAACGACACTTCTTTCCTCATCATACAGGACGATCCGCAACCAGTATGCCCACTACTGAATAAAGTTACCCGAGGACACCCCATCGAAAATCAAAGAAGACAGAAACGGAACGCTGGCATTTCTGGACGCGCACATCACTAGATAGCCAATGGGACGTTACAAATGCAGGTTTACGGAATGGTGACGTATACAGGACACATTCTGAGTTATCGCAGCAATCATCAGAATGATCACAAACAAAGCTTCATTCGTACACTTTTCAGATGGATCAAAACATACTGCAACACTGCTACACTGCAAGATAAATAAGGAGAAGTGCCTATACAGGGTTTTTCAGAGAAAGAAAAAGCAAATGATTCTATTAGCAGATCACTGAGGAAGCTGAATACGATTGGCAAAACACCCCAGATCGGAATCAAATGGATAGGACTCTCATATGTATGGAAACATTGCTAAAATGACTGCAAGGCTCGTGCGACAATATCATACTCAGGATACAGTGCAAGTTTCTCGACAAACGCTAAGTAGGACAGACGGGTGAAAAGCTCTCCACCAGAATAAATGAACACAAATTCGCTGTTAAAATATACGATCGATTTCCTCTCATCTTCGTGAACAAAATTCTGGAAGGACACGAGTTCCACTGGAATGCCGTTCACTTACTGGCTGAAGCAGGAAACGAATAAAGAACATGAATTAACGGATACGGTGTAATCTATCAAAGACGCCATCAACAAGCATTGAAATTGACCCACTTTATCACCCACTTAGGACAAGAACAAAAGCGTCCAAGACTGTACAAGAACCCACATGAATAACTCATAGGAGAAGCAGGGGGCCCAATTCAAGGGGATAAATAAATCTGATAGGATTTGGTGCCCAACCAATAAATTAAACGAGTGAACTGAGGAATCTAATTACCCGGCAACCGCAAGAATACCGAGTAAAGGACAGTTTTTTTTCATCACAATAATACTTAAAGGATACCACTTGCCTGCAACCAGAGGATGCAAATCAATGGCTGATGTTGTGTGTACAACAGCAAGCACGACTGACTTTTCTATCGGCAACGAAGCAAACTGATCTAAGCGATTCGACGCGTGATGTGCCCAAAGTCTGTGACCCGCAAGCCGTACGCCGATTGTCTTCCAATTCTGGTGGTACGTTCATTGGTCCAGCATATCGGGGCTTGTGCGAGCTTGCCTCGGAACATGCCCGGCCTATTTGAGTCGGATGACTCAGATGATGGAAACAAGGCAAGCCCTAGCTCGGAAACCTATTCTCACCTATCCAAGCCATCACCCGCGCGTTCGACCAAGAAAACCGGCTAGGTTTCGGTTTGAAGTGTTATTCAGGGCTTGCTATCGTTTGATGAAGCCAAGCTGGTTAATCGAGATCAAACGAGTCTGTGCGCACAGAAGCCTTGTACCTTTGATTTGATTGACTGGACTGGTTTGTTATTTTAGTCTACTATTTTTTTTCTGTGGACTGAATGATTTTAGCACACTACTAACAGCATAAAAACAAAATGCTGACATACGCCGGACTTTGTCTTGCATTTTGGTGAGTCACCTAGAGCTGACTTTCGAGATTAAGTGCAACCAACGTGCTGATATGATCTAAATGCATTTTATTGAATTCACTGGAGTCTAACTGTCGTGCTAGAAACTCAAGAAGCTCGATTCCCCTCAGGTCTAAGTGGGTCGGGGCATGTGCTAATTTACCGTCAACAGATGAGGTTTTACGATTTTTGTCGGAAGTTCCGTCCAAGCTGATTCAAGAGGATTTCAATTCAAGTTCATTTTGCTCACTTTTTCCACACAGTAGATTGTATCAGGGGAGAATGTTTGTGTGAAATATAGTTGAGCCGGAAGTGTTTTCTGGACCAAACCTTTCGCCAACTGGGGGCGGAGTAATCGGGTTTCAGAGTGTGCTTAGAGTACTTTGGTTCAACTGAAAGATATGCCAAGGATATTGGTTGGATATGCTGCCCCTAAGATTGACAAGAACGAATTGGCAGGCTGCGGTCAGTGTCTTTCGTCTTGGAGTTTATCAGGTAGGTGCAGTCTCCCAGTTTCCAGTAACTTAACGTTCTTTTTGAAGACCAAGTTTTACGCAGTCAGTAACACACATTCATTTTCAAACTGACTTTTTGTAAACGAGAAACTCAGTCAAATCCAAAGTGACTCATTCGGTTATGGTACTCTTTGACCAAATGTACTGCAAAAAATGCGTCATTTTTTGGCTGGTACAAAATAAGAGATATTGCAGTGTATCTTCTCGATGGAACACACTACTCATAAGGTTGCTGAAGTCCCCTCAATCGTCCACGAGCGTTTTTGTCCCACTTGAGCTCATCGGGTTGATGCAGTTCCCGAGTTTCTGGCAACGTGATGTTCCACCAAAATGATTTGAAAACTAGTGCTCCTCTAGTATTCTAGTCATATTTTCAATAATCCGCAAGATACCTTACAAGCTTGACTTTCTCATAATCTGACAGTTCTTTTCAACAGATAGGATGATTTGACTAAATGACGCACACTTATGGTTTGAAGTGCTTGCACGAT